GAAAGAAGAAAAGAAAGGGAGAAAAGGAAGAGGAGGAAGAAGAGGAAGGAAAAGGAGAAGGAGAAGGAGAAGGAGAAGGAGAAGGAGAAGGAGAAGGAGAAGGAGATAATCTCAAATGACTTTGTACTACAGGGATGTCTCCATGAAGTCACCAGGGGCCAAGCTCCCACTTGAAAGAGACTTTTCTTACTCTCTTATAAAATGAACAATGCAGCAGATGGGCTCAGCAGGGAGGTCATCCCACGGCTGCTTCATGATGCGAGGCACTGTCATTAAAGGCAGGGGGCAAGGAGAAAGCAAGACTCTAAAAGAAGCAATGTTGTACCTCAAAGCATCTTCGTCCATCACATAGAAGGACACACAGCGGAAACTGGGAGGCAGGTGGACTTCATATTCCTCACCCCAAAAAGGAAAGAGAGTTTTCCACACTGTGGCTGTCCTGTGGGAAGGAGGAAGTCAATCAAAGGCCCATTTTTTTCAAGATGAGGCATATAACAGAAGTTTTTTTAAAAAACAAACAAACATTAAAAAAAATGTTTTTTTACAACAATGTACAGGTACTCCCCCATTTAAGAACGAGTTCTGTTCCCAAGATCTGTCCTTAAGTCAAATTTGTATGTAATCTGGAACAGTATTACTGTATAATACTGTGTAAATAGTATTGTGTAATGAACTTGAACCATTGTGTATTTAACCCAAATCACTGTGTATTTAACTTGAATTTTGCTACAAGAGGCTCTGTTCTTAACTATGGGTCATCTTTAAACCAGGCATTCTTAACCCAGGAATTACCTGTATTTCTTGACAATGATACAATTTAAGCAGAGCCTTCTGTATTGACCCCAGATCAGAGGATGTACTTTATTTTATTAATTTATTTTAAACAGGCAAAACTTATAGGGGTTGAGGATGTTACTAGAGTCTAGGAGACTGAAATAGCCAGATCATTTTCCAAATTCAGGGTAGGAGAGGGAAGGGGTTAGGAAGGTTACAGAATAGTCCACCTCGACTAATTAAGCAGACAGGGAAGGAAGAGTTGGATTTGGGCTCTGTTCCCTCAAGTTAACTCTTAGAAGGATAGATCATTTTGCCACTCAGAGATCAGTAGCAGAATTAATACAGTTAAGTAGGTTCACTTTGACTTTTTTCTTTTTTTATTGATCTACAATCAGACTAAAAAATTATGGACACAAACTAACATCTTATAAGTGATAGCTACTATGATGTCAAACTTCCTTCTAAGTAAAGTTCACCAGGCTGGGAAAACAACAGGTGCCTCCCTAGACAGGTTGTTTAATTCAGTTCCATAGACCACCAGAAGGCAAACACTGCACGACCAATTTCATCCTTATTGGGAATCATCAGATGCTGGCAGCCAGATGTTCTTCTAGGACTACTGACATCTGATAATTCCCAGTAAGGATGAAACTGGTCAGGTAGAGCCTGTGCTTCTGGTGGGCTATGGAACTGAAAACATCACACAAAACACACACGATGTGAAAACAGAAAATTTTTTCACCCCTCCAAGAGAGGGGATGGGATGGAAGTCATGTAACACCTCGTACATGAGGGCATGACATAATGGAACATCTGTATCTCTGCTCTGAGAACTTAAGGGAAGGTGGACTGTATATATCCTTCTGTAGCCTTTCTTGTTCTACAAGGGAAGGGAGAAGGAAAAAGTGCCTCTGGCTTACCTGATTATGGCTTCATTGTCAATTTTCACAATACAGTAGGGGTCACTGCTACCCGTACTGGAAAGGAAAAAAGAAAAATACATATAACGATATCTATGTAGCAGACAACAAGAGCTTTCCCTACAATGTATATTATTAAATGAATATAAGAAATTCTCTACTCCACTTATATATTAGGGAAATCAGAAGGGCACATTGCCACAAAGAGTCCCATCAACTCCCTTTCCATTTTGTCAAAAGTTAATTAATGCTTAAAGATGTTTCCTCTAGCTCAGTGTTTCTCAACCTTAGCAACTTTAAGACGGGTGGACTTCAGCTTCCAGAATTCCCCAGCCAGCAAGCTGAGGTTGAGAAACACTGCATTAGGCTGTGAAACTGACCAGAGTTCTGCCAATATGCCCTACTAGCAGAGGAAGATCAATCAATCTGCTAGTCTCCTATAACGGGGTTCCTCAACCTTGGCAACTTTAAGACGGGTGGACTTCAACTCCCAGAATTCCACAGCCAGAAACCCTTGCTGTCTGGGGAATTCTGGGAATTGAAGTCCACTGTCTTAAAGTTGCCAAGGTTGAGGAACCCTGTCCTATAAGGCTGGTAAACCTCTATTCAAAAAAAGCTCAGCTGATAGGTTGAAAGTTGGGGGGACTGTGGGAGCTTCATTCCACAACATTCTTCCACCCAACCAGTCTGTCCGCTGGCTGTTTTGTGACAGAGGCTTACCTATCTTACAGGAGACTGGGAGACCGGTATACTGTCTTTCCTGCCATTTGGGCTTCCTGAATATTGGCAGATTGGTATTCAGAAATAGCCCATGGGACAGGTTACCTATGTAGATCAACTCTGCAGCAGAGACCCTAGGTCGGGCAACTTGAATGGTGGCTAAAGACTCCATCCCAGGAACCCAGCCATACTCACCCAGCCATGCTCTGAGGAGAACAATTGCCAGTGGCTTTTCCCACTGGCATCTCACATGGGGTGAGAGCTGAAAAAAAGCCAAGGAAACTTGCCATACGTGGCAAGAGAAACTGGGGAGAGAAGGGATGAATGGGCCTCTTCTTCTTCCCCCTGCCAGGTGACCATGGAAGCTTCCTTGACAGTCCTGTACATATAGGAGTCCTCTATTGAATAGGTCTGTCTGAGGGGATGGTCCTCTCTGGGCAGGCCCCTTCAGGAGACAGCCCTCTACCGTTAAAGACAGCACTCTGTGGGGCCCCTCTGGTGGATGGTTTTCTGTTAGAGGTCAGCCCATCGGGTCAGATCTGTTGGACCCAAACTGAAAGGCATGGTAAGATAGTAGAGTTACGTGGTAGCACCAAGGGACCCTCGACTGGTCCCAAAAGCTAAGCAAGTTTGGACCTGGAAACCATCAGGAGATCCTTGCAGACCAGACTGGGAAGTTGAAAACACATCTCTGGAAGAGGCCAATATAAATTGTTTCTGTATCGTAGCCAAAAAAACTGCATGTCCGTGGTAATGTCCTCTCCAGGAATGAAGCTCAGTCTGAGGGAATCTTCATCTTTCAGGACAACATACAAGCTGTACTTTCATTGCAGTCCCTCAGGGATCTTCCTAAATATTTTGTAAAGATAACTGCAGCCCAAAGAGTCCTTTTCTCTTAGTTTTTATATTTGTGGAAACCCATGTATTAAAGAAAAAAAAAGTTCAGCATACGAGTGACTCATTTGAAAGCATGATCGAAAGTCAAAATTCTCATAGTGAAAACACTGGGTGTAATTGTATTTTCATACCTGAGAACTACGGCAGTGTATACCACAACTGACTGGCAAAAGTACAGATTTGTTCAGATCTGCTAAAAAAACATCAGAAAGCACCTAGTTTTTGTTTCAAAGTTTCTGGCTTGAACATAAACCCTGGCAAAGAATCCTAGTTGTGGAAAATAGTGTGCTGAGACCAAAAGACTGCCAGAAAAACGTTTTTGTTTTTTGTTTTTAATCTTATTTTCCTCCTTTGGAGCAAATCCAGAGACAGAGGAAAAAATGGAAAGAAAAGCAGGGGGACACAAAGAATTAAAAGTCTCCATTGTGTTCTTCTGCAAAGAAGGAACAAGAAAAGGCAAAGTTCTCTCTTGATTCTGGAAAATCAGAGGTGCCAAGGCAAGGAAGTTACTGCCAATTGGCTGCTTGGTATGCTGGAAACAAAAAATGCCATAAACCCAGCAACTGCAGAACCGGTCTCTACGGGCAGAGAGACACAGCTCAGGGACAGCCAGATTCAGTCAGTAGAAATGGTTGGAAGGATAATTCATTCTGCTGACTTTGAGGCATCACAACTGGATTTTTCCACTAATATATTCAACAACAAGGGTGGGCAATGTTTTTTGTGCCATGGGCTGGACGCATGGAGGGAAGGAGTGAAGTCACATGGCTCATGACATCATTGAGCAGATCATGAGAATTATGTCATTTCCATCATTTACTCCATGTTATCACGATGATCATGACTTGATCCTGATTTGCATCAGACATCTATCGCTGTCCTGGGTCTAAGTGGCTTGCAGAGATCTACGCTCCAGAAAAGAGTATGGCAAATGTTCCATTCATTCAATTTAAAATTAATTAAAAATAAACTAATTGGTTAATATGGTCTCGTCTCATGTCAGAAAGGCAGGAACTGGGAGATAATGATTAATCTAAATTTTAAAAAATTAAAAAACTTAATAAAAAATATAGATTTATCTAATTCTTGCCCAATGCCAGGCCATGTTGATTCTGGGGAATTCTGGGAGTTGAAGTCCACACATCTTAAGGCCAATGAGGTTGAGAAACACTGGTCTAGACAACAGATTTCCTGACGTTTTGTTGGCAACTGTGGCTGGCATTTTCAGAGGCAAGGCGATCTGTCTTTATAGCCAGGTGACCTATACAGGGTTTGGGAGGGAGAATGCATGGGGGTCTCTGGCCTTGCACCCAGTTCTATGGCAAGTATGAAGTCTGTCTCAGCATAAAAGTGACTCACATACTGTATGTAGCAAAGTCATGGCAGGTATTGAGAAACTAAAGATGCTCACAGGAAAGACGGGAAGGGTAGGAAGGAGTAGAGGAATGTAAATAGAAAAAAGAAGGCAGTGTTCTTTCAGATAAATCATAATTAGAACCTAGAGTCTAACTTATTTCATAGTTCACAAACTGCAGTGCAAAATGCCAGTATTTTTCTGACAAATGAATGTCTAGCCTCTGCTTAGTAAGCGAAGTCAGCTCCGCTCCTGCCTGAGGCAGTCTTTTAGTCCTCCTCTCAAATTGCTCAGACCTGAGAAATTACCAGTTAGTTGCTCTTCATTTAGCTTGCAGTCATTGCAATGGGAGCTATTTCAGTTACTGATTGTTCCCCCCCCCCCCCAAATCAAGCTCCTTTCTATCTATCTATCCACCCATCCATCCATCCACCCACCCACTGCCCACCTCAGGAAGAACAAAAGCTGATTATATAAAGGATAATCACTCATCTCCCTAGCCAGAGAACAATAAAGCAAATGGAAAAACCAAAGCCAAACAGGAAGCTTTCAATTAACATTAAGGAGGATTTTGATTGAATGGAAATTATAAACAAACACAGAAGAATGGGGGGCACCAGAAGGGCTTCAATGGGTAATATAGCATATAATGCTATTCCAGTTCTAGATGGATTTGGATAAACAGTGTAAGGAGACATGTCATACCAGATACGTATTCCCATATACCTCTACTTACTAGCAGTGGTTCTCCTGCTCAATCCTTTTGGCTGGAGATGGCAGGAACTGAACTTGTACATAACTACTGACCCTGGCCCTTTTGCTCTCGGCATCAATTTCATTTTCACTGCTCCTCCCTGAGGCTGGGGAGGATGAGGAAGTGGAAGAACAGAAACTCCATCTACTTCACCAACCAGGAAATGGAAAGATTGGTTCTCTAGCTGGCACCGGTCCTGCTGTATTTGCTCTTGTAGCAAGGGGGAAAATCCCTGAAACATTTGGGTGGGGAGGGGACCAGCGGCAAAAGCCTTGCTCCGATTGCTCTAAAACAGAGGTCCTCAAGGGGTGGTCTGGGGATCCCTGAGACCTTTTCAGGGGGTCCATGAAGTCAAAGAAATATTTTAAAATTTCTCAGCTTTAAATTCCAATACCATAAATATCAATAGGTATAACCCACATAAACCAAAACTCTTTGGGGTCCTCCATCATTTTTAAGAATGGAAAGAGGTCCTGAGACCAAAAGGTTGGAGAACTGCTGCCAGTACTGCAATGTGACTTCAGGAGGGAGGGGAGAAGCCCCAGAGGCCAGGTGGAAAAGCTTGTTTTGTCCTGCCCCCTGCATGGGGGACCCAGTGGGGGTTCACGGCACTGGGAGTGGCTGGTAGCCTGAGGATGCTCTCTCCACTGTTTGCTTGCATTGCAGTTTTAACTTGGTGGCTTAATTTTACTCTCCTGTAGTTTTTAACACACACACACACACAAATGATTTTATAGCTTTTATCTGTAATACCGCCTAGAGTCACTTGTATAATGAGATGGGCAGCATGTATAAATTTGAAAAACAAATAAATAAATATTGTCTTTGCAAAGTTTGCTCTGGAGCAACAGCTGAGCAATTTGTTGGCTTAGCCATCAAAGGTCTCCAGAAGTCCCACATTATTGTACAGACCCAGGGATGGGGCCAATCCCAGATCCGTAAGCTGTTGAGTGACAAGGGGGGCCAGTATCAACTCAGCACTCATCATATATTCCAGGAGTGATAAAGCTGCAGGTCTCCAAGTGGCTGAATGACAACTTCCAGCATGCTGGTAATAGGAGAGAAGGCAGAACGATTCTGCAAGCCAGGGGCATCTACAGGAGAGGAACGGTCCAAAGAGTCAGACGGCAGCCACAACCCACACCCTTGAAGACTTGCCCCTTTTTATGTATCTTGCATATACAACACACATTAAAAAGAAGCAGGGCTTCAGTCATGGGGTTGCAGCCCTCGTGATTTTTTTAGTACTTCCCCCGCTCCTCAGATGCTCTGGTGCAGGATATTAAAAATTTGAAGGCTGCTCTCCATGTATTAAGTGAGATTAGGGTTAAT